TTGCCTGCCGGGATCCTCGGGGTGGATCCAGTACAATCTCTTAGTGGATGCTGCTGGTGTGTCAGGCACTGGAGATGCTCCAGTGTTTGCTTGTAGCTTACGGTGCTGTGATCTTCTGAGGAAAAGGAGTGAGAACAAAGCTGATTAAATAAAGACCATTTGAAAAGAAAGAAACAATTCCTTACTGTTTTTACAATGGGTCTGTACTGGAGGAACAACCAGTCCAGTGACGACACTCTCATAGTGTGAAGAGACCAAGACCCTCAGCTGCCCCTCAGTGTGGGGGCACTATAGATAGGAAGCAAATTCTGCAGATGGATCAAAGAAGAAAAGGACAGCTGAAGTGCGAGACATCAGTGTGGTGATGTCTCCACAGCAAAGCAGAGACATGTGGAAAGCAGCATAGCTGAGAGAAGAAGGGCATAGAGCTGAAGAGGAAGGATAAGAGGCAGAAGTTCAGTATTGGCACAAAAGAGCCTGCTAGCAAGGTTAGCCTACCAGTATAGACTGTGTCTGAGCACTGTGTTCAGACTAGAACAGGCTGGGAAAGCTGAAGTGAGAGGTACATTCCTAGTTTCTGGCACTTGATCTTGCCCGTTAGAGCAGCCCCTGGCTACTAGCGCTCCCCTGGCATGATTTGGGTGCCAAGACGTGCCAGAGACCATTCCCGACCTGCAGGTTGCGCATGACCACCATATTTCAAAGGGTAAGAGAGCTCAATGGACACAACTGTTCTGTGCCAGTCCATCTCAGTGCCAGGGGAAGGTTCCGGCCATGTTTCCTTTGTTAATATAGATGTCACCCAAGTGTTTTGAAGCAAGAGGGGGCAACAGTACCAGTTGTTGAGAAGAGGTGGAGGTCCTGCTTCTGAACACTGTCTTACTCCCAGGAGCTCTGGGGACCTTTGCTGGCTGAACCAGGAGGAGGATCAAAAGATCAAGAAGTCAGAGAATTGTATCAGCTGGAAGAGACCTAGGAGATCATTGAGTCCAGCCTTTTTCCCAGCCCTATCAACATACTAAACAATTACCCCGAACACAACATCCACCTGGTTTGTTCTGAGCTACAGAACCATTGGGAAAGTTCTGAGCAGAGCTGGTGTGTCCTGCAGGCCTGAGAGAGAGAAAAGTAATCCCAAATGTAGGGACAGTAAGCTCCCTTCAGGGAGGACTCCAGTTCCTCACTGCTTTCACCATGTCAACCCCAGAGCTGCTAAGATGGTGGAACAGCACAAGGCCAGGAGAAGCTTCAGGGCTTGAATGGGAGGTACACAAGTCAGTACTTCTCATTTTGTTAAACACCCACCACCACTGGTTTAGAGACAGTTGAAAAATACTTGTTACCTCGCATGGACCTGTGCATGGATACATGTGGGCATGGTGAGCAGGGCAGGGCTTGCCACCAAACATTTCCCATTAAGGTCTTATGTGTGAAAGGAAGGCACTGCAGAAAATTTTCTGAGCTTGCTAGCTTTGACTTCTTTACGTCATTTTATTTTCCATTTTCTGAGCCTCCCTGACTGGCAGTACCTGCCTTTGCTGGCATGTAACCACTATGTGGAGATGGATTGGGTGCGGACACCTGCTTTGTGACTGTCTTGTCTCAGTAGCAGATGTTGTTAGATACAGGGAAGGCCTCCTGCGCAAATGCATCTACGGTTAACCTGTGTGCTTGCACTAGCCCACCATGTCCTCAGAGCACCAAGTTTTCTGAAGACTTTCTGAAGACAGGGATTAGATGTGCTGCACACCCCTAGCATAGCACTGCAAGGCTGCTGTGGTAAACAGAACAACTAGTTGCTGGCCATGGCGGGACAGACAAGTCTGAAAGGGAAGGAAAAATCTCAATTCCTGTTCTGCATACCTGACTTCAGCAAAAGAGGACAGTAGCTTACGCTTTCTTATCTACACTCATTCTCCCAGAGGCTACGGATGGAGTAGAAGGCTGTCCACTGTTCAGAAAATACCAGTTTGTGCTATAATTGCAAAGACTGCAATTGAATCCCATGCTTCTGAGCTTCTCCTGGCTTCCTGCAACGGCTAGGAGAAGATACCTCTCATGCAAAACTGTGATTATTTTTCCCACTTCCCCGTTGGCACTGCTAGCTGGGCTCCTCCCTGGAAATGTAGGTGAGTCTGTACATGAAGTGTAGATGCAAAATTGGGAGTCTCTTGTGCTCCAGAGTGGCTGGGGTGAGAGAGCATCCCTTTCTCCCATGCCAGCAGGGAAGGAATTTGCCTTCCTCTGTAAGACAGACTCCTCTGGGTGTATTTCCCCTAACTGGTTCCTTCCTGTCCCAAGAGGTCTAGGCAGCAGTATTTTCCCTGATTCTTGTCTACTGATCTAAAAGGGACAAGATCAAGCTCTTGGGTTAGCATAAAAAACCTGGGGAGAAATCCAGCGAGGGGAAGTCTTGACTTTGAGCACATACATCAAAGTCCTGGGCATCAATCCAGAGGAGGGAGGCAAAGGTCTGAGAAGGGGATCAAATAAACCTACAGCAGCCATATGTCAGAACAGGATGAAGACTTAAGACACCTCTAATCAAGACTCTTGGGAGTGAGTGTCACCACCGGTGCCCTCACCTTTGCGGGCAGCTGCTTTTGACTCCTGCTAGCTATGCTTCTGGCTGCCTCCAAAGAGTTCCTTGTCCATCTGTGAGTGTGCACATCTGGGGCAAGGTGAAAGCAAGAAGAGCTGCTGGAGGGCAGGCTCTTACTTGCAGGGTCCTGGAGCAGGAGCCATCGTGAGCAGCCTGGCTTTGCAGGGACCCAAGGAGCCGGTTTCCCGAACCTGCTCCTACTTTTTTGCCAGACAAGTGATCACCTTCCCGCTGGGGGTGCAGAATAAAAGTGAGAACACTGCAAGGTGTTTGCATAACATCACAGGACATCACCTATTCCTGTGGTATGATGCCCTGGAGAGCCAGGACTGTCTCCTTAGGGAAGTTGCTGTTAAGGCTGAGGAACGCTGCTCTCACTTGGGTGCATCGACAAGGAGAGCTTGCCACCTGCTGGAAGCAGCCAGAATTGACAGGCAACAGTCCGGCCAGAGCCCTTGGGTGTAGGGGAGGAACAGGAAGCAGTAAGGCCTGTCTGTCAGCAGTTCCCGGTGAGCTGGATGGCATTGGGGTTTGAAGAGAGAGCAGGAAGAGCATCCTTTGCGGGAAGAAAGCACTGATCTCGGGCAGATGAGGTATGACAAAACTCACCGCAAGGTTTGCACCCCCCTTGAGTCCTTCTTGGAGGTGCCCATCCCCACTGCCGAGGTAGCAGAAAGGAATACGGATTTGTGTGACCATCGCCTCTCAACTCCTGCATTAGGACGGAGCAAAGAGCTGGTGAGGTGGCATCTCACATTTCCACAGCACGGTTTGCCAATGTGTCTGTCAAGCTGTCTGTGTGCTGCTCACAGCTTCTCTCACTGCTCTCTGCTCTGCCGATACTTCCCTCCCTTTGACATATTCTCAGACTTCAGCCTTTTGTTACACCACGAGTACCTTTAACCTGATGGGCATCAACCACCCTGCTTCCGACCACATTGGCTCCCAGGAACACATGATCAGCTGGAGAGTTCTCAGTTTTCCCAATGAGATGTTACTAATGTCTAGGAGAATATAAGCAGGTCTCCAGCAAGAGAGATTAAGGAGCTGGCTTACTAATACATGGACTAAACCTCCCCTAGCAATACAAGTATCGGTACCTCTGGCTGTAAGCCATATTAATACATTGTATAACGGTTTTTTATGTTATCAAAAGCCAGATCACCCTTACTGGCCTCTTATCCCACTGCTGCACTGAGTGAGACGGAGAAAACAGTAGCAGAACCAGGGAAAGCTCTGGGATGCCGCCCTCCCAGTGTGGAAACCACCACAGGAACTTGACAGTGTTCAGTCCAGGTTCTTGTCATTTTTTACTCAGAAAGGTAAGTAATAACAGCGAAGCACCAAACACCTTAATTCCTTGTATTTCAGGACACAAACTCATATTGAGTAGCCACCTATTTCTAGAAGGTGGCATTTTTACACGATCATTTATTCCCTAGCAGAGCTAGGCTGCAAACCTGCATGCAGCAAGCAATTTTGACACAGCTGCAGAAAAAGGTGTGAGAATCTTCTCCTCCCTCTGGCTCAGGTTGCACAGGTGTTTCCTCAGCAGCAGTAATTTCAAAGAGTATTTGGTTCTAGGCACTCACTTCCAGCCCTGCTGTACCTACTATCTGTTCTAAGCAATCATGTAGCTTTGTGGTGAACCAGATGGAGAAAACAATCCAGGTTAAAACAAACCCAACAAGACCCCCCTCCAAAAGAACGGCATCTCAGAAGAATGAATATAGGCTGTGGGGAGAGGTAGGAGGAAGCAGGGGAGCCTCCTTCTACAGCACAGACTGGGAATTCACACTCCGCATAATGCTGAAAGAAAAGCAGGAGAGACTGAAGAAAAATGAGGCAGAAGCAACAGGGAAAAGCAGTGGCCAGTCTCTTTTTTTATCCTCGTGTAGAGCAGGGATGGGAAAATTGGTTTTGACTGTGAGAATAGCTCCAAACTTCTCTTCCCAAATTCAGCCCAAATCTTGTGCTCTACTAGGTTTTTTATTTCATTGTGTATATATGAAGTTCCCTGAACAAGGGCTTACTTATAATACAACATGCTAAGTAAAGTTAGCGAAATCATCAGCTGGGATTTGAGTTCAAGTTTGCGTGGAGCTCTAGTGATACTCCAGTGAAAGGATGTTCTCTTCCAAGCCTGATCAGAATCAAACAGACCCCCAGGAAAGTAACAGGCTTTGCAATTCCATGTACGATTCCAGATCAAAGACACTGAAACATACCTAGAGTGATTCTCCTAAGGTTTTCTTCAGTAAATGAGGAAGCGTTGGGAAAACTTCTGTCTAGTAATCCTCTAAAGGGGCCTGCAAAATCTAACCTTTGATTAGTAGGAAGGTCTGCAAAATCAGAAGAAAATGCTGCCACTACCGTTGTACGGTCCTTTCCCAAGCAGTCACACTTGGCAGCCTCTTGCAGGGCTCCTTGGCTTTAATTTACATATCACTCCATCTAGTGGCCTCACGGTTCCAGCATCCAGGAGTTTAAAACTCTGTCCTGGTACCAGCTGGAATTCAAACCTCTGCAGTAGTTTGGCCATCACCACTTTTGCCTCCATCTGTTGAGAAGAAAAGCAAACTCATCATCAGTGACAGCAAATATAGCTTGGAATGAAGCTACTTAAAGTCAGTGTATTATGTAGGGCTGCTTTGTCAATATAGAGATTTAAAAGTTAAATGTTACTGTCAATGCAGCTGGCAGAGTTTGGGCAGGAAGAACAGAATCGCCTGGGGCTTCCCAAATTTGAAGACAACTGACAGGCACTAAGATCGGTCCTTGTGTTTAAGCATTAACCCCATTTTGGGAATCAGAGTGCAAAACCAAGCACTTTAACATGAAGATTTTGAGCACTGGTGCTTACAGCAGAGACTCTAAGAGCTGGCCTCCTACTGTCCTTCTGAAACGCTCTCTGCCATCCTCTTATACTTCATTAAACTGTTCCTCCCATCCACACAGCCCCGCCTCACCTTCTGTGTCAGTCCTGGCATGTGTCCCTCTGCCCGTTAAAGCTTTCTCTTCTCTACTTTGCCAGCTGCAGGCACAGGATGGTCCCTAAGAGCCCCTGCATATCCCCCCCTGCCCCTCCCGTGCTTGACGCTGGCTGGCAAAGGGATGTTGATTCCCATCAAAGGGTGCGGATTCAAGCTGGGTGACCCAGGACAGGTCAGAGGGAGAGCAGCCTGCTGCTCCCTCCCCCACAGACACTTTGGCTGCACGGACACATGGGGCTGGTTCAGCGCATGTACATCTGCTCATGTGAGAGCGTTTGAGAGATGTGCCCCATCAGGGACATGCTGGGGATCTTCCTTCAAGAGGGAAGATGGTCAGTGCACCATCAGCGTGGCCTTCGGTCCACCACCACCAGCCAGACAGCACACCCTGAGCTGGCCCAGTGTTCTCTAATAAAGCATCATTACAGGCCTCTGCTTACCTGTGCAAACACCTGCCCAATGCACGATCGGGGGCCCAGAGAGAATGGAAAATAGCAGTAATACGGCCTGCAAAGAAAAATGTTCAAAACTGACAGCTTGCTTGTGAAGAAACAAGCAAATCTTTCACCCCAGTAGCAAGGAAATGGTCTAAATATCAGCTCACCTAGCTGACTTGTTAAGACAACCTCCAAATTACCATTTTTATTTGCTTCAGAGCAGCAATACAGCTCTGCAGCAAGTTCCCTTGTCATCTCTGCCTACCACATGGCTCGGCTCACAGAGCTGTGGTGATGTGAAAGCCTTATTTCAAAGCTGAATGTCAGGTGTACTCTAAATGTTCTCCAGCCTGTCATGAGGACATAATGACTCATCCAGTTATTGCTCCTTTGGGCAGCTCTGAACCATGTGAATGAGGGGCCGTTTGGTCCAGGAGACCAGACTAACTCTAGGCTGAAGCAAGACCACTGACTCACAGGGATCAGTAGGGATCAGCATCAACCATTTAGGACACTGCCCTCTCCTATCACGCTGATTAGACTTTGGCTGCCTGCCTTCGTGGCTGTACAGCATCTTCTCAGCCCCTTGTCCCCTCTCTAATGTGGAGACACTTCAAGCATCCTGAGGCCAAGTCTGCCACACACTGAATGTTTGCTTTGCACTACGTCAAATATTCAGCCTGGGTTTGGCCCAAAGCTTTGACCTCAATATAAACATTAAATAGTATTAGTATTGGTCTTTTTTGTAAGGTGTCATGTGATCAAAAGAACTCCTGAACAAAAACTGTACATTATTGCTCTCTGCTTGCATTTGGATAAGGATTTAGTGTTACTAAAATGGAAAAACAGTTTTATTTTACTTTTATTCCCCCCTTGAAATGGTTCCTTATTACATATTTAATAACATCAGAGTAAAAGGAAACTCACTTAGGTGCATCTTTGCTAAATCGGTCTGGATTGAAAGTGAGTGGATCCTTGAAATACTTTTCCATCCTTCCCATTATATAGGTGCTGAACTGTTAAGAAAGAGTTTATTTGCATTAGTCAGGAGCAGCACACAGAAGATGCCTCTCCACCAGTACAAAATCACAACTGCATTCCACTCCGCAGGCAAAAAATGATCCACAGTCCGAATTCATAGCCCAGTTTAGGCCAAAAATTTCAGAGAGGCCAGCAGAACTATGCACAGGGAGGATTTCGGCCCTCTGACACACAAATTCATTACATTTGGGTTGACTGTAGCAGCTAAAGGCTGCTGATGGTGGATGGGACTCACAACGAGCACTGTGTTTGCAGGAATTCTGACACCGTTGAGGATGTGCTCCTTCTCCAACCAGCGTATTGTCCCTGGGACGGGTGGGTACAGTCGCAGCGATTCCTTCAAAACCTGTGTCAGCAAAAAAGCACAAAAGGTCAGTCAGTTAATACAGCGTAGGAAACAGAAATAAAATTAATTACCTCCCTATGGCCTTTCACTTTGGCTAAGTGGGAACTTTTGACTTATGGAACAGACGCTGGTGTATCTTTCTTGGACTCCTGTGGGCAAAATATATGGCTAAGTCAGCTCCTTCAGGCATCGTTCTTTACTACAACTGGTAAAATACAGAGAAAAAGAAGTAAAACTCACAAGAGATCCCACATTTTGAACAGATCTAACACCTCAAGTCAGGTTAACATTTAAGTGAAAAAGTACTGGGAAGCAAATTCAAAGGGAGTGTCTGAGAGTGAAATTTCATGCTCCCGATGCGCTGTCCTCGGCACCAGCTGCCATGAGGATGGGTGGTTGCTCCCACCTCCTTCCCACTCTCAGCACTGTGCTCCTGCCTTTGTCCTGCTTCTGCTGCTTGGGGAGTTGAGCCAGGTCAGAGCACCAAAATGAGAAAAAACAACCTGGCAAAGGAAAATGAATAGGGAACAGTGAAGAAAAAGAAAATGGAATGAGACCATTTCTTTTGGTGGCAGTGAGCTGTAAGAATGGCTTATTTCATCAAAGTGAAACCTAATTAACAGCGCACATTAGCATTGCACTGCAAATGCAATTAACGGTGTGCATGCACGAGTGCATTAATGAAAAAGAAGCATGGACAAAAGGATTCAGAATTGCCTGAGTGACAAGATCTCTCATACTCCAGAGATGGACTGGGCTCTGACCAAGGGTGACTGATTTTGGTTGTACAGATCCAAGCTTGTTCTGTTAAATAAACGGTCTGCTTTGAGAGGCTCTCATGTGACCTGTCTTAAACCTGAAAGGCTTAGATACCTCATCCTAATTGGAGTGGTATAATTGTGATGGTATTTGGAGAAGCCTAAGGAAACCTGCTGATTTCTGAAACATTTCCTTATGAGAGATACACCTTTGAAATCTGCCAGTTCCTAAGCACAGTGATTTGTGCGATAGGACATAGTAAATGGCAAAACACCATCACCCATCTCAGCAGGGCAGTTTAAGAGAAAAGTGATCATAGCAGACTACCGAAAATCAGAGGAAAATTTAAGCAGGAGAACAGCTTCCAGGACTGTGATTCAGCCTCTCCTGAGGCCTAGTAGTGTCCCCTATCTTGTAACAAGGGATACACACCACAAACACTGGCAAGTAGCCAAGCTCTGGCTTTGCAGTTCATTACCAACCGGCATTTCCATGCACAAGAGTTCTTTAGGACCAAACTCTCTTTTTTCTTTTTCTTTTTAATCCCCTGAGTGACTGAAGAGAGTTTCGAGACTGAATAATAAAACCCCTGAAATTACAAAAAACTAGCCATTATTTTTTGATGTCCTCAAATCCCTCTGAGTTTATGGCTCATGGTGAGATCATAGCTGGAAATGCTTTAATAATAATCAAACAAAAATGGAGCTGTGAGTTTGGGAAGTGCATAGGATTCACATACACATTGGGCTTGAAGTTGCAAACTCTTCTTAAAACACAATTAAGGTTTCAGCTTAAACAGGTAGGGATTAAGCAACTCCACGCTAGCTCCCAGCCTGATAATAACTAAAGCAAGCAGTGAAGGAATTGCGGGATTTTTGAAAGAAATTTGAGGAGCACCCTCCCTAACAAGGCTGGGCTGCTGCCAATCACTCATGGTACCTGCCTGCTGACTCTCTGGGGACACACATTGCCAGGATCAAATATTGGCATTGCTTGTAAAATTTTAAAAAGTGTGGGGCTCCTCTTGGCAGTCCCATGAGATAGCAGGAGTACTAACACAGAGTTCTGACTGGTGTTTTACCTCACTCTTACAGTACCTGTGATAAGTAGGTGAGTTTGCCAAGATCCTCATAGTCAATGTCTCTCTTGGCACCGAGAACTTCATCCACTTCGGCCTGAAGCCTGCAGTTAAATTAAAAACTGTTAGTTGCAGATGCCCATTTCTTGCTAGGCAAGTTGACAACTTAATTTTTTTACTTTCTAGACACTGAGTTGGACTTTGACTCACATCCTCAGGCAAAATGCCTACCAATTCCCAGGCAGCCTGCCTGAACTTGTGCCGCATATAAGGATGGAGCAATGTGTGTACAGTAAAGCTGCATCAGAACCAGCTTTGCATAAAGGCTTTGAAAAAAAAACATTTAGATGGAATTGAAGTAATCCACCTTAAGCTTTTCCTAAAATTTTAAATATACTGGGACTATGAAACTGCTTATTTTGGAAAGGAGGCTGGAATTTATTAGGAATTAATCCTAGCTTTCTAATAATCCTTATAATTAAGTTCGTTTTGAAATTATCAGCAAGCTGTGTTTGCAAATTAAAGAGTACATACCTTTCCAGTATTTCAGGATGCTGAGCCAGTGCCATTACTGTAAATGACAACTGATTGGCAGTGGTTTCATGACCTAACAACAACAAAAATCAGTTTAAAAGTTAATATGAAATAATAACATGATGCAAAGGTGGTCTACTGGCGTGACTGCGAATGCCAGGCACTGAATGATTTATTTCAAGTATGCTAGGAATCAAAGGAAACACTGAAAGGGGTGTAACTTCTACGTAAGGAGCTTTCAGGAATGACAAGAACAAGACATAGCTGGTAAAATATGTGCTGTCTTGTTCAACTCAAAGCTGTGGTGGCTGCAAACGGCAACTACTGGTTGCGAGCTCCCCAAGAGAAGGGCCAGTGAGTTCAATATTTGCCTTGTCATGTCATGGGACACACACTCCGACCGAGAAGCAAGGACTTACTGGTTTTGAGGGAAAACAGAGCTTCCACCTTTCTTTGAAATGTCTGCTTTATGTGGATAGCTGTTTGGTTTTTTTCACAGATAGGAATATGTATTATTTTAAAGCATTACAGAAAAGACTTCTGCAGAGCTATACTTGTTGCAATAATGCCTTTCCTGTGGAAGAACAGTGTTTTGATGTCACTTTCTTAGCAAGTGAAACCCTACTGACTTGTAAGATCAATCTTTCTACATTGTCTACTTCACGTATCATCTTGGCGCCCACTTTTTCTGATGGACTTAGCAGTGCCCTCTCCTATCAAGCACCAACTATTGCTCTTAAGGTCAAGAACAGCGTTTAAGCGTGCAGGTGAGGGTGGTGTGAAGAATGTGGAGTATGTTAAAGATGCTTTCAGTGGGGTTTTGCAGGATTTGGGAGAAAGGCCCAGAACCCTGTGAGGAATAGCCTTGCACCCCTGTAGGCAGTGCTCCCCCCTGCACCATGGATTGGAAAGCACCGGCCTGCCCTTATTTGCTGTGTTGATATGACTGAAGGAGGATAACTTATTATTTGCCTATAAGTAAACTAAGAGTTCTTTTCAGATCTGGCCCAGCTGGTCCAATGCCAGTGAAATACTGGTCTTCCAACCAAGTGGCTCTCGGCTACAGCAGCAACACATGAGTGAGTATGGACATTAACCACAACCCTACAGACAGCCCAAGAATGAGTACAGCTTCCCACAACACATCCAAGCATTAAAATAACTACCAACCTGCAACAAAGAAGGTGATAAAGTTATCCAGAATGTTCTCATCATCTCTACTTTCCTCCAGAGCTGTCAAGAAAGAAAAGCAAATTACATCAGAAAACACTCCCATGCCCCAGCTTAAACAGCCAGAATGCTCCACCCCACTTTGCACATTTTGTCTGAAGTGGCACTGGGAGGGGATGCTGAGCGCGCAACTCAGCGGTGATTTGTGACCAATATTTGATCCAACACAAAGAAACAAGGAATTTTCAAAGCAACTCAACCTTCAGTGTGACAAAGCTATAAAAAAGTTTAGATCCCCAAAATAACCCTCCCCATCTCATTGCAAAACACGTCACAAAGAAATTCACTCAAATAGCAATGTGTCTCCTACCATCTCCTTTCAGTATCTGTGTAAGAATATCCAGTGTGCCTTCCTTCCCATTCCGGATGGCCTCTCTCCTCCGATCAATGCACTCCTTCCCCACGCGCCGCAGCAGCCTCACACTCTCCCTGACCTCTTTTACCAGCTTCCGTTTCCCTGGCATGTACTGAATACAGAATTTCTTCAGTCATTATACTCCTTTTCTGGCAAAAAACATTTCTAGCGTTATTTTTCAAGCGACCACCTTGTTCTCTGCTAAATGGCATTTGTCACAATAACATATGCTCTCCATGGACAAAGTTAATGTCACCAAGGGGAAGGGTTTGGGTCAAAATGAGAAATATTTCAGCCTGTGCATGCTGATGCCCTGCCTTGTCAGAGCTCGTGTTTTGGTACTGTGAGCAAAATTACTCTAGGTGATCCTGCTCTGGCAGGGATGCTGGACTAGACAATCTTTCGAAGTTCCTTCCAAGCCCTAAACATCCTGTGATTCTCTAAATTCCTCACCTCTCCACAGAAAGAAACTGCAGCATCCAATACAGAATCTCACCTCTGGGCCCAAAAAAGGAAAACAGGAGCTCTAAAAACCTGAAATTCAGCTTTCAGGAGAAACCAGGGAATGATTTTTAACTTAAATATTTCATATTCCATCCATAACTTCCTAGTATATGAATCATAAAAAATACAAATTTTTTTATAGTAAGAATGTTAAAAGTTCTTCCACCTTGAGTGAAGACTGCCATCCTTGAACAAATGACAAAAAAAACCAACTCAATTTTTGCAGCAATGGGTGTGAAAGTAAAATCATATGCAAGGGGGAAGAGAAGGCAGAAAGACAGAAAGGCAGTGTGAAATGTGAAATTTGCAAGTGTTTTAAAGGGCTAATGAATTTTACCTCGATGCAGGTTGAAGGGAAAGACCTACTGATGACTGTTTCCCCATCCTGTATGGGCCTCGCACAGCTCCAGCCAGTTGAGTTAATAAAGGAGCAGAGGCTCCAGCTGAATGCAAGGAGAGGGGACGGCAGTGAGGAGCGTACACACCCGTATGAGGGGGATGCGAGCCTTGGTCATTCCCTCCATAACCATAGTCACAGCGTGTGGGAAAGGCGTTTGGTCGTCGCTCAGTGCATTCAATTCCAAGCCAAAGGCTACCTGACAAGTGAGAGAGAAAAAGGCAACTCACTGCATCCTCCTGGCTCCCTGGGGCTGGGGTGAAAGAGCAGGACAGCCTCACACTGCTGTTTTTCCACTAAAAAAATCCGCAGGCTAGATCCTGCCTTGCAGGAGGCTGTGAGGAAAGGGTAGTATAAACATTATACTTCCTCCTTATTTGGGGGGATTAATAATTTACTATTACTCTCCACTCATCTCAAACTGTTTTGCATAGTGAAGGGAAAAGCCAGCATATGGCAGACTTCACATCGACATGTAACGGTAATAACACAACACCCACACACGAATGAGCACTGGCGTGCCATTTTTGGCACAGAAAGGTGGGAAGTACGAGGCTGTAAGGAGTTTTGCAAAGGGTCTCCATCCTGCAGGCCACATCTAGGCAGTGCAGACCCTTCCTTAACTGCCCTTTCCTATAGCTCAGTCAGAATGGAAGTGGCATGATTAGTCCTTTGGCTCTTCTGGCTCCAGCTCCTGATCCTGTCCCGCTGCCAGTACCTGTTACTTCCACTCCTGCCTGCCAGTCACAGAGGAAACAAGAAAGCGGACAGCTGGTACCTTTGCAATGATATCCATAGTCACCCGGTTCATCATCGTCAGCATGCTAAACTCCTGTTTTCCATCTGCCTTTTCCTCTAGCTTTTCCATCAGCTCCTCTGCTTTTTCATTAAAAGTGTCCATCAGACCAATCAGGTAGCTGAATCAATAAAAATGCATGATGGGGGCTCTGGAGAGGACATCTTTGCTCAGGCAACATAAAATTGAAAATTGTTTGTTTGTTACAATAAATTTACCTTAATATTTTAAAAAAGCGAACATATAAAATGAGCTAAATTATTCTTACAGCATCCTGCCATACAATAGGTGTTGTGGCAAAAGGCTTTGTTCTGTGTACACTGAAACAAACAGACTTATCTTGAGATCCTAAATGCAATGTATGAAGGTATGCACAGGCAAACCAGACCAACCCCCTGCTTGTAAATCACAGCATATCTCCCACAGGGAATCACTCAGGTGAATGATGAGGCCTGCCCATGTCAAATCCCTGACAGGATAAGGCAGCCATCGCCACGCTTCTGGAAACGCCATCGCTGAGCTCCTGTGGGTGTCACTGCCCCATGGGAAGTCTGGTCAAATCATACTTAGAGTGGAAATGGTGCATTGGAATCTAAGCAAAATGTGATTTTGGCACTAAATTGGGATTTGCTCTTTCTAAATATAAAATAATGATCAACGACAGGGATAATGATGAAAATACAGTAGAAATAAGGGCTAGATAATCCTAGAGGTATTTGTCTTACGTTCGGCTGAACGCTGGATCCATTATCTTCCGCTGCTTGTGCCACTGCTCATGGTTGCAAACAGTTACCAAGCCATTCCCCAGAAACCTAGCATTGAGGAAAACAAGAAAAGGAACAGTTTTCAGCAAGGGAGCCAGCTGAACCCCTTGTAGTCACAAAGACAGCTCTTTCACATCTACTTTCTTGTGTTTTTCCCATCCATAGTAAGCACCACGCTGCTTTGAATACACAGGAATTGTATCACCATGCAGAACAACTGAACTGCAGATATGTTTTGCATGGTAGGTATGGACTGCTGAGTCCAATAAGATGCTGGTTCATTACAGCTGTTAAGCAAATAATTAAGATAATAACTGGATTATTATATTTTTAAAAATTTCATGCTACGAGAAAAAAATTCCCTTTGTTGTCATTGAACTTAGGAGCTGGAAATGCCCACACATTAAGGAATAATTCAGTGTTCTAAAACCTAAGTGAGAAGTTTTATGATGGTCTTGAGCAAACTATTCCGAGACTAACTAAACATCCATAAGGAGCAAAAAAAACCCCAATCAAGTTAAAAAAGTCCAACATAACCTGCCACCTGATGAGGAAGAAATCTGATTTGACATATAATTTAACAGCTACGTGCTGCTTACACGTCTGGAACTAGTCATTAACCCCCATACTAAGGTAAATGGTCAAAATAACTGTCATGCCTGTGATGTTATTAAAGTTTCACTTATTTTCAGATCATAATGGCTCCAGATGAGTTTTGCCTACCTCTCACCAAATATATTGAAGATACGACCATACACCAGCCGATCCTTTGGGTACTGTGGTGACATCAAGAATTCCTAAAATCAAATTTCAGGTCAGCGAATACTGAGTGCAATCCGTTTCCCAGACAAAACATAAAAAGCCACTCACATGTTCGTTCTTTTTCTCCTGTAGCAATAGTCTGAAGACTAAATGAATTATTTGGTATGCCCTGATTCCCCAGTTTCTATACTGCTGCTTGTTTTGCATGCCTCTAGCACTTTTTGCCCAATGACCTGAAATCTCACTCTGTGGTTATTGCCAAGATTTATAGGAAGACATTCAGTCCCTTGTGCCTTCCTCATTTGAAATATTAAGCTCCTGCAGACAGTCTGCTTTTCAGAAATGCTGGAAGCTTGCTCTATCTGCTTTTTAAATAAAGGTAACACAGTAAACCAACTGATCAAAGAAGAAAATAAATCAGAATGGCCCAGAGGGCAGAGTACCTCACCCTCCTAATCGAGCCAGAGGCACCCTCTCGACAGACACAGACTGGCTGCACTGTGCTGCCCTGGACATCCAGCACTGTCTCTCTCTTTCTGGAGGGACCTGCCAATCCTCACTGCTGATTTAGCTTTGTTTTGCTGTACCTTCACTCCTTCAGGACTCAGAATCATTAGGGAGACTCTGTGAAAGGCATTAAGCCGCACAATGGGTCCATACTTCTCTGCCCTGTAAGAAGGGATTAAAAAAAAGGAAAGGTAAGAGAGAGAATTATGGTACAAACCACCAACTTGTAACAGTGCAGACCTAATAACCAGAGGACCAAAGCATCATGTATTGGAAACTACTGAGGTGTTTGGCAAATAAAGCCATTAAGAGAAAGATCAATGTGCTCTCTCTAGCTCCTCTACCAGCCTTCTGAACAATGCTAAATACATAGCTCAGGACCTCTGTGCCTTGATTTTTCCAATTCGCGCTACAGGGCTGCCTCATTCGATGTTATTGATGTGTCTCAACTTACCACTGCAGGAAGAGATCGTGCACAAACTCCCGTTTCCTCACCATTCTCCACAAGATCGGCAGATGTCCAAATAAAAAGCTGCAGAAAATTAAGGTAAAAGTGTCACAAGGATGCTAGCACATGGTTTTGTATGGATTGCAATCCTTGCTGCTCAGTGATGAAATAAGACTGTTGCTCGTGTTTTCTTCCTCGTAAGGAAAGATAAAAGTAACATCTAGCTGTGCCAACACCTGGAACCCATGTGGGTAAGCTGAGGACCAGGGTCAGGCTGGTGCACTCCTGCAGCCAGGAAGACCAGTGAAGAGATGCAGGACAAGGTCTTTTTTTTTTTTTGCTGCTTTATTATAGGAGATGTTCAGGTCTGGGTGCAAGCTCCCAGCAAATTGCTTTGCTCTTTGCCTAGTTGACTGAATCCTGACTGCAACTATTACATTTTTGTACAGGCAACAGACATTTGCATTTAAATATTCTTTAATACATGCTCAGCCCTGACAACCATAACTTTGGTTCTGTCAAGGGAGTTAAAGTGAGCAAAATTAGGAACAGTCTCCTTCTGTCTAAAACCATGCAACCTCAAATGCTGAAAAGAGAAGCATTTCATGGCAAACCATGAAAAAACATGAAGCAAGACATTGTTTTGGGATATATAACTATGTGACACTACCATATGAAAAATGTATTTGCCCATTTCTTGCTATTAAATCTTTAATATGAAGTAAACCTTTGAAGAGACGACCTCCTCTCTTCACAGGTGAACTGGTCATGTCGTAAAAACAACACAAGGCCACGAGGACTCACTTTTCCAGCCTTTTCTACACAAGTCTCCTTTAGGGACGTGCTGTATTAGTTCTGACAAAATAAATCGGCACAGGAAATCAAGGGTCTTAATGTAATCTTGTCATCATGCAGCCACGAGACCTTAGACAAAGCCTGAGGTTTTGATAAGATCCTGTTGTACCTCACCCTAAAATAAAGCTTTCTTAAGGTTTTATCAAAGTGAAAGAGCCAAGGGCAAAGGGAAAGTTGTGCATCTTGGCCACAGTAACACCTTGAAAGGATACAGGCTGTGGACTGGGTGGCTGAGGAGCAGATCTGCTGACCACAACCTGGGGACTGGCTCTGGTGGGCAGCAAGCTGGACACAAGCCAGCCTTTGCTTCTGGTGGTGCTGAGCACGTGGCTCAGAGTTGGTCACCTGCAGCACCATTTGAACAGCCTCAGTGTGAAGGTATTTGGTCTTACACCTAACCGGGATTTTCCTCAAGACACCTTGTGCCCTTCCACCTTCATTTGCAGCTCCGGGGAGAGGCTGGCTCCACCTTCTCACAAGCACCATTTAGGTAGCTGAAAACAGTCAGCGGATCCCCTCCGCCCTTCAGTAGCCATTTTTCCACCCAAAACAAGTCCAGCTCTCAGCCTCTCAGGCATCCTGGCTGCCCTCCACTGGACTAGCCCGGGTTTGCCAACATCTTTCTTGTACTGGGGAAACCACCACCACCACACACAGCACCCAGCTTTACCTGTTTTTTTTTTATTTTAAGGAATACCTTTCAGAGCTGCAAATATTTGATTTTCCTTACCTTGGACATTTAGGAGTCAAAGCGTTTGTGCAACAAGTACTGCAATGGGGGGTTTGTACTGTCCCTGGCAAACTGGGCTTTGGAAAAGCTATCACGTGCTGTAGGCTGGTGCGACAGAAAAGCTTCCACCCAGACATACCAGTACTAGAAAGTCTTCTGGAAAAGATTCGAGGCGGATCATCATCAAGTCTCAAACCCTGAAGAAGGGACAGAAGAGCAGCCACAGGGTTCCTGAAGCTGCTCATACTCGAAGTTGTTACTTCATACCTCGAAATGAACGGAAGGACAAGCAGGCTCAGGCATGGCATGATCCATCCTCCCTCCAGTCTTAGTACCTGCCCGCATTACACGAGGGGGCTGAAGCCTGGGGCCGGGCAGCCGAGCCCGGTGTCCCTTTGGGGCTGTTTGTGCAGGACCGTGCCGGGGCCCTGTTTCTTCCCCCGGCACCTTGCCCAGGGCCCCTGCACACAAGGGTCAGGCTGACCAGGGAGCCCACACGCTCCCGCAAGAACCGTTTTTCCTCACCGACAGCACTGCCACTGCCCGTCAGCACTTACGGCTTTTTTTTATTATTATTTTTCTGCAGAAATCCAACACGC